AATGGCTGCCAAAGTGAGTTATAATCACTTAGTGTAATCACAAAATGGCTGCCGCAGTGAGTAATAATCCATTGGTGTAACCACAAAATGGCTGACACAGTGAGTTATAATCACTTGGTTCATATATAAACACAAAATGGCTGTCACAGTGAGTTATAATCACTTGGTTCATATATAAACACAAAATGGCTGACACAGTGAGTTATAATCACTTGGTTCATATATAAACACAAAATGGCTGACACAGTGAGTTATAATCACTTGGTACATATATAAACACAAAATGGCTGACACAGTGAATTATAATCACTTGGTGTAATCACAAAATGGCTGCCGCAGTGAGTTATAATCACTTGGTATAACCACAAAATGGCTGCCACAGTGAGTTATAGTCACTTGGTGTAAACACAAAATGGCTGACACAGTGAGTTATAGTCACTTGGTGTAAACACAAAATGGCTGACACAGTGAGCTATAATCCATTGGTGTAACCACAAAGTGGCTGCCACAGTGAGTTATAATCACTTGGTTCATATATAAACACAAAATGGCTGACACAGTGAGTTATAATCACTTGGTTCATATATAAACACAAAATGGCTGACACAGTGAGTTATAATCACTTGGTTCATATATAAACACAAAATGGCTGACACAGTGAGTTATAATCCATTGGTGTAACCACAAAGCGGCTGCCACAGTGAGTTATAGTCACTTGGTGTAAACACAAAATGGCTGACACAGTGAGTTATAATCACTTGGGTCATATATAAACACAAAATGGCTGACACAGTGAGTTATAATCACTTGGTTCATATATAAACACAAAATGGCTGACACAGTGAGTTATAATCACTTGGTTCATATATAAACACAAAATGGCTGACACAGTGAGTTATAATCCATTGGTGTAACCACAAAGTGGCTGCCACAGTGAGTTATAGTCACTTGTTGTAAACACAAAATGGTTGCCACAGTGAGTTATAATCACTTGGTGTAATCACAAAATGGCTGTCGCAGTGAGTTATAATCACTTGGTGTAATCACAAAATGGCTGCCACAGTGAGTTATAGTCACTTGGTGTAAACACAAAATGGCTGACACAGTGAGTTATAATCCATTGGTGTAACCACAAAGTGGCTGCCACAGTGAGTTATAATCACTTGGTTCATATATAAACACAAAATGGCTGCCAAAGTGAGTTATAATCACTTAGTGTAATCACAAAATGGCTGCCGCAGTGAGTAATAATCCATTGGTGTAACCACAAAATGGCTGACACAGTGAGTTATAATCACTTGGTTCATATATAAACACAAAATGGCTGTCACAGTGAGTTATAATCACTTGGTTCATATATAAACACAAAATGGCTGACACAGTGAGTTATAATCACTTGGTTCATATATAAACACAAAATGGCTGACACAGTGAATTATAATCACTTGGTGTAAACACAAAATGGCTGCCACAGTGAGTTTTAATCAATTGGTGTATCACAAAACGGCTG